AAAAAAATTGTTCTAAAAGGTTGAGCTCAGACGATTCAGCATCATTTGAAATGTGCAAATTCATTATCCCCTAAAGAAATTGTTTTTGCTACTTTTTGACCATTTCTAGAATTTTTTCTATAAAAATAATTCGATATGATAGTTGAGTTTATCATTCTTTGAAGAATAAATTTAACCATGATGAATTGATCAATTTCATGATTTTTTTCTCTCTCTGAAATAACCAATGATAGTTTATTCGTTGACAATTTTTCTACCGATATTTTCCCCCACAGGGTGGTAGGGGACATTTTCCCTGGACAAAATTTCTCGGACATGATTTCCCTGGGCACAATTTCCCCCCAAACAATTTCCCCGGACACAATTTCCGTTTTGAATATATGGACAGAGGAAAGACAAAAAAATTGTCACACAACAGTTTTGCAAGAAAGTCAGTCTTTAATAAACAATAAGAATTCACACCGAAAAACACTAAGAAAAAACAAGTGACGAGAATCAAAACAATCACTTCTAACATTTTGAGACGTGATAAAGACACTGCAATTTTAATTTATATTAGCAAGTAATTTGCTTTTTGCCTCATAGCTCACTGTATACAAGTAGAATCTGGACTGAATGATTAAGAATTTAGGCACGACTAGAATACAAAATAATCAACATTCAGCTGAAATCCCAACACAGTTAAACTGATATCCCCACCACTAACTTTCCTCATGGCGGTTATATGAGAGCGACTTCAAACGAAATTCTGTCTGTCGAATTTTGTCCGGGAGAATTTTTTTCGGGCAAATTTTGTCCGGGAAATTTGGTCTCGGGGAAAAGATTCCTAGAATCCACAGTTGTTATTCCTGATGGTACTGAATAACTATCGACAAATGTTCTAGAGGTTTCATTTAAATTTCATCCTCTTCTGAAACAATGTCAAGTGCAAAAAAGAAAGAAGTAGCTCAGAATTCGTAGACAACATTTACTTCGCAATTCTCAATTCGATAACTCACATTATACTTATAAGTACAATGCTTCCGCCAATCCACCCAACGAATTCCCCGCGATTCATACACGGAGAGAAATTTTCTAGAGAAATTCTAGTACGAGTACTGTACAAAATCACAATCCACCAGCTGTGAAAAATTGTAGTGCTGCTGAGGTAAAATTTCTTGGTATTTCTGGTAAAATTTCTGGGGATTTCTGTGAAATTTTCACAGAATTACGGGGAAAAATTCACGTTTTCCACAATAAAATTTCTAGTGCCGGCACTGGAATGTTTTCCTGGCCGTCACTTTGTGCCTCTTTTCCCGTGCTAGCACTAGAATTTTTCTAAAAAATTTCTCTCCTTGTAGATGCACACTATTTTCATTAATTATGAAATATTCATTATAACCATTCACTGATATTGGATCAACATATTGCAAATAATACTGAATTAAACTCAAACTATACAAATATAAAAATCAGTTTTTACTGATCAGTCTCTTAGTTTACCCTGATTTGAGTTTTCACTCGGGTAAAAGTAAGTAAAAACTGGTTTTTATCACTTTTGAATCTGAAATTTAATATTTGTTTGGATTCATGCCTGATCATAATGCCGGGAGCCAATCTTTCTGATCAGTACCGGATCCAATACGGATCCCGTCGAAATTTGACTTATCACATTAAAATCGAAATTCACTGCGCTATATTGGATTCAAATATTCTGTTCAGAATCTTGTCAGATGTTGATCCGAAAGTTTAATCACGATATTCTGACCAGATTTAGATGTAGAACTGATTTAGACTCAAGCAAACAGCGAAACTTCCACTGAGGATGTTCTGATTGAACTTTCAAATCACAACCCGGCCAGGATCTTAAAAAAGAGGGTTGAGCAATCTACGATTGGGTCCAAATTGAATCTGGTTCTGAGAAGAAAGATTAGATCACAACATTCTGATCAGACTTGGATCTAAATAAGAATTTGGTTCTGAAAAGCCGGATCCGTCTACGATCACAACTTCTCAGTACATAATCAGGTTGATAGATCCAGACAAGACCGGAAAGGTCCAAGAATGAGTTACATGAATTGGTATTTTGATCAGATTCTTCTATCAACCTGATCAGGTTCAATCAGAATCATGCACAGTGAAAATTTCCCTCAGTTTGCCCAGGACTGGAAAAGTTTTAGATTCAATACTATTCAGAATTTCTTCACTAAGATCAGACATTCTCAGTACCGAATGAGGATAGTAGATCTAGACCAACAAGATCCAGAAAAGAACTACACGAATTGGGTTAGGATCGGAAATCTCTGATCTGCACGGGATTCAGATGAGAATCTTCTCCCAGCCTGATCAGGTTCAATCAAAAACATTCGTCGGGGAATCTTTACCACTATCAGTACCTGGTCCATAAACACGCTCCCTTAGTTGAGTGTCGGCCCAAGATGCTATACCTGTACCCCTATAATCGAGTGAAAATAGCTCATCTTCCCCATTTCGTAATGTTTCCAGCGGAAATTCTTCTAGTTCCAATAGAGTTGGTTTCCCATATTTTTCTTCAGTAAAACTCTACCATTCCCTTCAACATGGAAGGAGAACATTGAGGAGAATGCAGAAATTATGTAAACCGTGGGAATGTTTTTCTTCCATTTCATTTAAAACTTCATTGAAACCCTGTCGCTTACTTTACAAGCTACGCAACTGAAATGCTTATACACTCTTGAGGGAGAAAAGTAGTTCTAAATGCCCGGAGAGGCAGAAAATAAATACAACTCTTTATGACTATCAAGTGAAGAAGAGTGATATAAGAAGATTACATAAACACGTTATGATTTTTTTGTCTCTTTTCATTTCGCTTCTGTGAGAAAAAGAGAATATCTCTCAATGGAAATTACTTTTGAGTTGGTCTGAGATGCAAAATATGAGGATTTTAATAGAGTCTGTATTTTTCATGGAGGAATTTTTCTTTCTCGACGAACAGAACTCCCTCTTGAAAGAAGGCTGCTGAGCTTTTTCCTCGGAATCGTTCATTTTCGAGGAAAGAATTTATATTATCAAAGAGGTCTCCTCCGGATCTGATTACCTTATGATAAAAATTGAATTCTTAACGGGAGATGGAAAACATTCAACGAAGTTTCATGTGTCTCTTGAGCAATATCCATAGAATCATGGAGAAAAGCTTGAAATATAACGTGCAGGAGGAGAGAAGCTCTGATTTCCGCGGAAGAGGAGTATAAAGTATGGAAAATAACGTGTCTCTCATGTATCATTTCTTGTGAATTTTATGACAAAGCCCCCTGGGAATGTTGCCATCACCGCTATTTTATCATCTCTTATCCAGTCAGAAGCGTCAAGTACTCGGAATGTTCTACATCCTAGGTGTTGAGGGAATCGCCGCAGAAAGTAACTTCCATACTTTCTCAAAAGTTTCATCTATATAGTGTTATATTAATTCTTTATTTGATTAATTCATTATTTATCAATTAATGTTGATATGTAAATTTTAAATTCAATGCGATTCAATTTTCAATCACATCTAATCTTGTTTTATTGTAGATGTTTCACTTAAAGAATTGTATTATATTTGCACGAAAATGATATTTATATGTTGCTGATTATATTGAAAATGACTGACTTGAGGGAAAACTGCATCTGTATTGCAATTTTGTCCTGCTGTGGATTTTTTTTTTGAGAATTGAATCATTTTGACGAAAAGGCAAAATAGTTGAGTTCTTCAAGGAAATAATGAATGTTCCATTTAATAAAGAGTTGATGCTGTTTTCAAGTATGTGTTTGATTTAATATTTTCCAAGGAAATTTCACTTGGGTTCTTTTCTTGGGGACGTGGAAACTTTTCATTAGGAAAATTTTTCCCCTGAAAGATTTCCCTTGAAAAATTTTTCAGAGCACAAATTTTCCGGGAAAAGCATTTTCCAGAGGAAAAATTGTCACGGCAAAAAAAATTTCCGGGAAAAAATTTTCCGGTGATTTTTTTCCGGGAGATTGTTCGCAGAAAAAAAAGGGAACTTATTGGTGTTTGATAATTAATCAATACATATGGAATTGCCAATTTGTATTGTCCCTCAATACGACTTTCACCGTAAAGCCTGGACGATTTAATTCAGAATGAAGCTTTACTGATTACCTTATTTGAACGAATAAAAGAGATCTGAACGAAACCATTAAAAAGTGATGCAGTTAATAATCGTGTCAGTTTAACACAATTGTCGGAAGCAGAAAGAGTTGGATAATGAATATTTTCTTTCTGAAATGCGCCAAACACCCGGTGACGGGCTGGGGTGAGAAAAATAAAAGTGGATGAGTAAAAAAAAAGACAGAAGCGGGTAGGAGGTAAAAAAGAGGACTGGCACACAGACTACTCGTTGCTGTAAGGGAAATCACGTTGACCTCGTTCCCGTGACGCTTTTGTTGAAACATATTCCCAGCTTTTGTTCCACTCGCGTCGGAACGTTTTGTTGACGATGCATTCGATCTCCCATATGTGTTCCTCTCGCGTTATTCTAATATAGAAATTCTCGTTAATTAATCGAAAAGTGGGAAAACTAATCCGTTGAATGGTCGGGGAATTCAGATTGTTATTATCACTCCACAAATGTAGTTGATGTGAAAAGAGTGAAAAAAAAGAATGTCAAGTTGTGACAAATTATAATTTTCTAGAGAAGAAATTAACATATTTTGAAAAATAAGGAATGATTCTTTGCTTCCACATGGAAGCAATATTATTATAAATAATATAAGATGAGAACATTATTATAAATAATTTAATAATAAATTATTATTTTCAATAAGTAATATTATTTAATAATAAATCATTTAATGAAATCATAATACAAATATAACCTTTTTTTGTTTGAAAAAATTGAAAAAAAATTTTTGAGTAATTGGATTTAAAAATTTTCGAAACTTCTACAAATGTTTTTTTTCAATTTTTTGTTAAATCCGGAAACAAATAGTTATTATCAACGACATAAACATAACCTTGAAAATCTTTCCTTCCTGTTTTTCAGGAGTTGGTTGTGCAGCTGGAGATGGCGATCCGATCGTCGGTGGAAATTCGGAGAAAAAGTCGGGATATGAAACGAACCTCTACCTCTACAGCGTAAGTAAAATCCCAGTACGATTTTAATGCACGACACATGTTCATCGTCACATTCCTGGCACCACGTTTCTCCTTCCATTTCTGAAAAACTATATTCGGAACTACAACATCACCATTGGCAAAGTTCCATTCGCACGTCCAGTCATGTGGTAGATAAATCCCAGGACAAGAAAAACGCCGACTTTTCTCTAGGACAATTCATACATTCGTCTGTCCCCTATTTCTCTTTCCCTCACTTCCTTCATTAATCCATTTATCTTCGTTTTTGTATTTTCGAGGAATTCGAGGGGCGTGAGAAACATTTTAGGACGGGACGAACAAGGTCGAGTGCCACTAGAGAGTTCGATCAGCGATTCTTTTATTATTTTTTTTTATTTCTGCTCGAGATTCCCTAGTTGCGGTGATGCATATTCAGTGGGTATTTCACTATACCTTTCGTTCCCGATTTTAAATCAAGGATGGAAGTTAAAATAGGATGAATGATGTTAATTTTGGGATTCGGTTGAATGGGTTTGAAGACAAAATCCATTCCCAGAATGTGTCTTTGGCAAAGAAACCCGCGGATTGTTTATAGTTTATTTCATGTTATTAAATTAAGAAACATTTTTTTACATAACTTTGTCAGATTTTCAACTTAGTTAAATGTTAGCATCATCATTATTCTTATTACCCCTTTCTTCTATACAAACGATTGTTTTCTTTATTCATAGATAGCTAAAAATATTAGCTTCAAAGCCACTTCGCCGAAGTTGAAAGATCGTTACGATACCTATATTCGTTGATTTGATTTTCATGATGATTTTTTTAAATTTAGAATTTTTCGTAAATTGCTCTGAAAGTGAACTTTCCGATTGTTTCTGTAAATATGATATTTCAAATTCATTCCATAATATAGATATCATCATTCTTCCGTTCGATTTATAAAAGAATTACAAAAAATATTCTCATAGCATTCAAAGTTTGTTGATTTTCCATCTTTTGGAAAATTTACTTCTACTGATTATTTGGATAAAAAAAAGAAAGGTTAAAATTGATTCAATTATCATTAAAACGATCTACTTCGACTTCACTTTTAACGAATAAATGGATGGTATAGATATATATAATTTCATATTTGAAATATCTATAGTATAAAAATCCAAATGGACTTCTGGTGATAAAAATTTGGTACTCGAAATTAAGACTCCACAATTATCCCGAGTAGAAATTTCGTCGGTTTAATGTAGGTTACCCGTGAGTGGAAACCGATACGAATGCGGGTTACACATAGGTAGCAACCGATAGGGAACCCACGGAAACGTCACGCAGTTAAACGATGAGTAACCCATCAGGTGTAACCTACAAGTAACCTATGAGGAGAATCATGAGTGCCAAATCGGGAACCTGTGAGGGACAGTTCGGGAGTGAATTCAAGAAATCGCACCAATGATTCGATACAAATTTTTTATTATCAACGCATATCAAAAACACAGAACTTATGATAAAATATCTTCCTCTTGATCGTACACACTTCACGCTTCCTTAATCTTCAGAACTATCAGAAGACTGAGCTAAGTCCTGTGGCGTCTTCCTTCTGTCCTCGTCATCAGAGTCATCCAAGGTTCTGGGGGTACCTCCACGCCAATATTTGGTATTATGTAAAACTCCCTGTATCGCCTTGTTGTATTTTTTCGAGTTCAAGGGTTGACCCCTTTTTCCAAAGCGTCAACAGTAAATTTCTGCAAATATTATTTGCACATTTTCAATTTTTGTCAAATTAATGAGTCGGCGAAGTGAAGATTAAGGATATCCAAGTACTTTGGCTATTTTTTCTTCGGCCAAATGCTTTTCTACTTTTGTAGTCGAACATCAAAGCTTCCATTTGAACCCCAGTTGACCCTAAGTTTCCGGACATTTACAATGATTTTATTATTCAAACTTGGCCGGTTTGAATTTTAATTTTGATATTGAAGTGTTGGAAAAAATTTTAAAAATCTGAAAAAAATGTAAAAGTTTACTTTTACAGCAAGATTGATGAAATAATTAAAAAATTGGAATTTTTGAAAATTACGAGCGTGTTTTATAAATAATTTATAAACAATGAATTTTCCACGATTAAAATAATTTGTTCGGAATCGTAAAAAGTTTATTCACATTGACAATTTTACCAAGAGTCGATTTTATGTATAAAAAAAAATAAGGTTTGCGAAAGTTTAAACAATATCAATTATTTATTTATAAACAAAGAATGTTTGAACAAATACTAATTCTGTGCAAAATGTAATTGGAACGACGCTGATTTTTTTTCAAACTTTTTCCACGCAATTTAATTGACAAATTTGATGATTGAAAATGGTTGAATCTATAGTGTGGTCTGTACCAAACTGTAAAAGGTACTTGGACAACCTTAAGTTAAATCAGTAAACTTACAACTAAATTCGCAAAATTTTAACTTGACATTTGTTGGAATAAAAGTTCTGTAGCGAATTGGTAAACTAGGATAAGTGCAAAAATGACACTTTTTCAGAGGAGTTCAAAAACTTGACCACGTTTGACATAACTTTCGNTTGGAATAAAAGTTCTGTAGCGAATTGGTAAACTAGGATAAGTGCAAAAATGACACTTTTTCAGAGGAGTTCAAAAACTTGATCACGTTTGACATAACTTTCGATTCAAGCAATCAAAAAAGTTTCGAAAGAAATGCACTTATCCTAGTTTATCACTTCGCTACAGAGTTTATATAAATATGAAAATTATAGGGGAATTTCTACTTAATTAACGAAAAAAAATGAAACTGTAGAATAAATCGTGAAAAACATGCTGAAAAAATCGAAATTTTATGTTTTACATGAAAAAATTTGTTTCACAAGGAATGAATCAACTGCCTGATCCTCAACTCCTCAGAAGTTGATCGTGATTCCTGCTAAGACTGGAGGAATTGAAAAAACCATCTCTCATTTTTTTAAATTTTTTTCTGCAGCCCATTTTGAAGATATGATTTTTTTATTTGTTCCCTTAATTTGAGTTTTATTCAACCGACTTCAATTTCATTTCAATTGAGATCGGCTCTCCATTTCATTTTCTGCCACCTTCGAGAACGTATGGAGTGAACTTTTTCCACAATCCCTAGATCCTTGCAATCCCAATAAGAAAAGAGTGGAAAACTTGAATTTTAATAATTATGTCAAGTTTTATTTTCTTCGTATTCCTTCATCGATTCTTACAATTGAAACCACTGTTTTAAGCTTTACTAGAAATTACACAACGTCGGTCCATTTTATTTTCAAGTTTTTGATTCAGAAATTACCAATGGTCGTAGGAAATCGTTCGCAAGTCTTTAATGTCGAAACAATTGAATAAGTAATTTTCAAGAGTACAAACACCATTATGTTAAGATTTTATAAAGATTCCCACAACAATTAGAAAATTCTGAACGGAAAAATTGCAAATAAAATAGCTCCAGTACCATGGTTCATTCATAACCATCTGGATTGAACATTCGTAATTAATACATATATATATATATTTTTTTTTTGTTGGCTAGGAGGAGTTAATTAAAAATAGATCTATTACGTTACCCGATTTCTAGTATGGCTTAAGAAACTTATTACAAGAGACGCAATCGTGTTTTACTGATTATGTCACATGACATAATCATCAAAATTTCAGTTTATCAACTTTTTTTTTATTTGTCATTGTAGGTATCTTCAGATTGAAAAAATGAGATCCTATACGCCCAGGAAAAGTGGCACAAATAAAACGTTTTATTCCTTGATAAACGAAAATTGGGTCAAGAGCACTCGAACTATTGAGAAAAAAAATTACGAAACACAAAAAAAATTATATCTTCGTAATAGACTGCAGGAATAATATATAAAAAATTGTGAAACTGTTTTACAAGCCTCCTAATCCTAGGTTTCTTAATCGCCATTAACTCCTGTGAGGATGATCAGCGGTCAACTCAGGTGAATCTTGAAGATTGAATAAAAAATATTCGAGTATCAACTGTTTTTTTTTTTGTCAATGAGGATTACTTTTTCTCTGTAGATACTCAACTGCTAGCGCGACTTATGACCTTACAACTTTAGAGACTGGAAATAGAAAATAATACCTTTTATAAGTTTTTCAAGTGTTGTATCATTGAAAACTTTTTTATCTTTAGTAGCCTGTAAGGGGACTAAGAATTTTGCAACGTCTGCTGTCACAAATTGACGTACAAGCTCACCCAAACACCTGGCGACTGCGCGATTAATATCAACAGACATACCGATTATGGTTTTCTGGAAAAATTATATGATTTATTTAATACATTTAGCAACAATGGAGAAATGCTAGGAAGAATAGATAGATCATTGTAATAATTAGTCTCAGAATGATAACCAAGTAATTACTTAACACGATTTCCCGACAGTGAAAAATGAAGATTTATTTCATCATTTGAATACTCCAGATATAAAGAATTAATTCTAGATCAAAACAAGAAATACGTCAGATATGATTGGGCTATCATTGCAATTATAAGTACATTATCATGTGAATACTGAATCCATAAAGAGTTTTGTTTCCGATTTCTTTTATCAACAAAATATTCAAGGATATACTCATCACTTTACATATAGAGAAAACTCTACAGATCATAAGAGGCAATGACGAAAACGTGAATTCGCTGAACATCTCTGGGGGGGGGGAATTAATTCACACTTACTGTTACATTTAATTAGAAAGAAAATTGGGATTCAGAAATTTTTGTTGTAAATCGTACTACAACCGCCATTTTAGGAGAAATAATGCATTTTAAAAAAGCCCTCTGGACTGCTACATACTGTTGTCATTAATTATGGTTTCAGTATGAAAAAACCATAATGCGCCACGGGAAAAGTGAAATATTAATTGAAGCGTTCGGTTGTTATTTTATTGAGGAATCAACGTAGATAAATAGGTATTTTTACGTTAATGACAGAATGAATAACAGCCAGGAGCTCCAAAATATATTTCATTTGTATGTGGTGAATTTTGGTCAT